CCGTCTCCAAGGGAATATGGGAGTGGGGCAACAATTTGATTTGTTGATTTCCTTTAAAAGTTGAATCACACTGATTTACTCGGCAGGAATTTGACACAAAGTTTTCATTCGAATTTCCAACAACGGCATCTAGAAGTAAGAGGCCTCCCACTGGGTTGGACTGCAAGCTCCATGCGTCTTCATGAATCACCAGAAGAGCTTGCGGCACGGCTTTACGCACATGTTTTAGGGGGATTTATTTTCAAGTCATGGTAAGGGAGCTTGGTTGTTCTTCACACAGTATCATACGGCACGGCGTTCAGAGTAAGCTGCTGTAGGGGTCCTTGAATTCTGCAAAAGAGAGGGAATTCTGCAAAAAATTTTCTAGGTAGGCTTGAGAACACTCATGTCCTAACACCAGTAGAAGTTAGGTCTTCCCAGCATATCCTATGCAGCAGCTACTTAGTCCCGAACGTCCAACCTCGAAATCGACAGAATCTGCAACATCAAAATCGCTTTAGAATCTGGAATAAATTTAATTATATTTTCCTGGCAGGCTTCAACGAGCGTTCCGTTGCAGCCAAGCATGCCTTCACTAGAGGGCTCTGATTAACGATGAGAATGGAATTGAATTCTTTCGCTCGTCTCAACATTAGGTCTTACATTTTGAAAGCAGGACAAGTAATAAAGATCTTTGTACGGTATAGGAGGTGTGGGTGCCCAGATATCTCCCACTCAGGACATACTCTTGATGGAAACGAATGTGAGATCATAAATATCTATGTTCTGGTCCATGTGAAATTCCCGCTCGCAAGTGGATGAAATTACGGTTTTTTAAGCCTTGGGTTTCGCTGACGGGATATTCCTCTACTGTTAGAACGCCAATAGTTGTCCTTCTCGCCCTTCCTCCTTTGTCCTTCGAGGTTATATCCCTACAAACTGTTCAAGCTGATGTTTCCACTTTCCCACCACCACACCCTGCAAGTAATCGTGAGAATCAATGGATTTGCTGAATTTTCTGCTTCAGAGAATTTAGCGAATCCATTGATTCTCACGATTTCAGCAAATCCATTGATAACAAAAAAGGAAGACTTTGTTGATCCCAACTTATTTATATTTTTTTCAAGGCCTAAGATGGTATTCCAGTAGACAGAATTTACTATTTTTGGGCTTAAAACAGTCATCTGAACAGTTTTTGGGTGATCTGTGAAAATATATAACTGCCGAGACAGTTCCACGACTCTGCTAGAAGTAAATTTTGTCAGTCAGAAGAAACGACCTAACGTGCCACATGTGAAAAGTCGGAAATGAATCACAGAAAGATCAGTGGGAAAGTCAATGGATGGACCAGAGCGAGCACCGAAAGAGCTCCCAAACCTGTCTGGGATATCTAGAAAGCCGCATTCCCTGTTACACCACGCATCAAGAATCAAGAATTTTTTGGAAAAGAATTTCTGGCTAGAATATAAATGAGTGTCCCCTCCAGGCAACAGCTGTTATAGGCTTTTGATTGGCCTAGAAGTTAATGCGTAAGATGGCAATAGCGTTTAAAATTCCTAGCTGCCGCGCTCTTTTGGCTCCCCTAACTTCCGGTTGCTGAGAGAATACGGTAGAACAGGTCATGCTTTAGCTCTTAGTTAAGATGTAATTAATTGTTATTCGACGAGGAATTCTATTCACTTCTAGCAACTGAACGTGGATGGCGGTTTTGGGCAAGAGTGATTTTTGCTATCTCAAGCAATTCGTCTTGAATTTACCTTGGTATTCTGCCTTTCCAGTTTTTGCGAGTTCTGTAGAGGCTTATCGCCAGTGATCTTGATTATTCCTCGATTATCTTGATTAGGCATATGGACTTAAAGGCACAGTTTACGATAATTTTGAGGTACCCGTTTTTTGACAGAAAATGATATATCAACTCCAGAATAGTGCGATAATAACGAAGAAAGCGCAAAAAACAACGAGTAAAAAGAAATTCAAAGGTTCAAAAAAGAGGCAAAAAAGGGAGCTGGACGAGTTTCAGTGAAAAAGCAGTGACAGTGAAAAAACAGCGGTTAAGGGAAATGCGACGCAATGTCTGCAATTGTACACAGCACACCCAAACAGCTGATTTCGTGCTGAATGGTGGATCCTAACGCGAATACATGGCTCTGAACCGCGTCTACATCTCGTATGACGTGACATCGATCGAGGGACGGGAAAGCCAATCACGGCAACAACAGGGCTCGCCCTATGCCCTGGACGTCGAGATTGGGAGAGTGAGAGGGTCTCTTCTACCACCCATGGGGGGGGGGGGCACTGAGTATTCCTAAAGGAAGAACTCAGTAACCTTTTTTATCGTGAACCGTGTCTTTAAATCAAATAATGAGCTTAGGTTAGCAGCAAAAGTGAATCCTTCGAAAAGTGATTCTCTGTTATGCATCTGATCTTTGTCATAACATTGCTCCTACTATTGCAAGAGAATTCCTGAGATTTTCTTGGACCGCAGGATCGATTAAGGTTGGTAGTGGCCAGTAGAACTACCTGAAGGGATGAATTTGGACTATAAAGGGCTGTTGACAAACATTCCTTTGATCACCAGGATCGGAACGGTTTCGTGTTATTCTTAATGGAAGAAAATCAAGTTTCAAAAAACTCAGTGCAGTTTCTGCACTGCGTTTATCTTATCCCGTGGCCGCGCCTTGCCCACAAAAATTTGGAAATTCATTTTTTGAATAGGAAAAATTCCGTGCGCTCCTGGGTGGCACAAAAAGCTGTGAAGGATTTAGTGAGTGCTTCTGCACTTTTTGTTGTGTCTCCAAGCCGAACGCTAATGTTCTGAATCCTCTCCCATTCGCTAATCTTCGGGAGAATCGCCGTCGATCCTATTTGCCCGGGAGTAGTAAGGTGTTCAGAGGCACTCATGGAATGAGACCCTACCTTTTGGCCCGTGAGTACTTTGAAGGATTCCTTCTGCCCAGAGAATTTTCAAGTTTTCCGACACTTGGTACGGTTCAGAAAAGCTCTCATTAAGTTTTCTGTCATTTTCTTGAATAGTGCTCGCCACCGAACCGTCCTGCCGTATGAAACATTTACGAAGCTGACTTCCAAAGGCCTACGTCCATGTGAACAAGAAACGAGCCATAGATTTCTCAGTTCCTTCGGAACGAGGTCCGCACAGCGGCTCCGCTTCTTGTATGGCACAAAAAGCACTGGCACACATGTGTAGAGCTCCTCAGATGGAGTCACCAAGGAAGCAGGTGCCAAAGTGCGTGGGTTTCTGGAGAGGCAGAGAAGATAGTGTGTCGTTGTCATCAATTATGCGCCAATCAACGGCACGCACTTGGTCTAGCTGAGTCATCACTTCCAAGCTGAATCTGAAGGGCTTCCTCCTCAGAACTCTGTGGCCCTTATATGTACACAAAACCTCATGAAACGTTTCCGAAGATTTGCCGGTTACACTGAACACACTTCGTTACTCTGGAAAAATATATTCGAAACTGGTTTGATTATAATCTTTGAAGACGTTGCTATTAACAATTATATGAAATTCGCTAGCTATGTGTCTACTGGAACATAGAGGGGAAAAAGGAGAGACGCGAAAATGCATACGGTCTAAAGGTGAATGGAATTTCATCTGGGGGTACTTGAACCAGGCTCATGTTTGTGGGAGCCCTAGGCGTTACTTTCTTGCTAACTTTCCTCAGTTCCACCCTTTCTTTATTCCGGACTTCTTTCTTGAAAATTGTCCTGGATGGTACGACTTCGATCTAGTTGTCAGTTTATTGACATGATATTTGGCCTATGTTTACTTAGTCCCTATTACTTACTTGGTATGTGAGAGCATGCCATTTTGGCGCAGAAATAAACAAATAAACAAACCAAACCCGGATCGCCACGTTCAATAGTTCTTTCCGGTATGCAATCGAATTAACCGATCAGACAGCCCTTCCCCCTTGGGCAATTCTCTCTACATTCCAACCACGGGTGAGCATAATTCGAGTTTTCAAAAATTACTTCCACAGTAACCATTGCCATTTGCATTCCTGTTCCCGTTCAGGCGACCTTACAATCTGGATCTCACAATTGTCTACCCCGCTTCTTTCATATAGCTCATTATAGTTCATGTTTTCCAAGATTGGACTTCAGCCACTGAGTCTGAACTGGCTAAAATTCATGAAAAAGTGTTAGTCGCTCCATTACGTTTTTGCAGAAAAACTCTGAAGAACCCAAAGTCCACTAGCCTGTTCATCCTCTCCACTCCTCCAAATTTGTTTCAAGAATTGACATTCCTGAGTTTTTGCCCACCGTTCAGCAGTCTGTTGCCCCTGTCGCTCTACGGCAGTCTGGACTGAAAAGGGATGAACGGTGGATGGTCAGTCCCTCAGATTCCACGGTGGAACTGAGTAGTGGACTCTCGTCACAACGTTTGAAGCAGTATAGGAAGGGGAGGGAAGGGGAGGAGAGGATGGAGGCCCAGCATTCTGAACCTAACTCTTCCACATTCTCCCTGAGAGGCGTGTCTCTCCTACACGATGCTGTCTTTTCAAAAACGAAACCTCAACCATCGATATCGTACATCACACACAGCTGGGCAATGTTCAGCGGGAACTTCTTAAGCAAGAAACTATAGAAAGTGCAGGGAGAGTTCCAGGTGAAAGAAACAGGCTTCATAAAGATTCAAGCACGACGGAGAATGGGAACCCACCTACACGATTATCCCTCCCATAGGTCAAAGAGTACAGGCGCTCGACACGGCCCCGTACGTGACAGCCAGCAACGAGGAGGAGGAGGTAGTGACCAGTCGGCTACCTCGCCGCAGCAACCGTACCACTCTGCGTGTCTGTCTAGAGGAGACATCCTGCGTCTCTCTGCTTGCGCATGTGTCCGTGTGCTCTCTAATCGGCGACTCTGTCCCACCCCGACGCCCCTCGCATATTCCTGCATTCGACGGTCCGCTCCCTGGTAAGCTCCCCATTCACTCTCTCACGGCCTCCCAACTGCACACAATTCGAGGAGACCTCCCATCCGTCCATGATCCTGTCATGGAACGACTCACCACCCCCTATGCCGATGGCTACTGTGATCCACTTGAGGTAGAAGTCCTTGAGCACTACGAGATCAACAGGGAGCGCCACAAAGGTGAGCCTTATTTCGCCCTTTTGATGCATGATCATATTCATTTTATTGGAATCGCTTGTGAGCTTTCGTTTGCCCTATTGGGGCGACAGTTGGCTGACATCGGATGTGCGTTCGATTTCAAAATTGCCGCTCTTTCGTAACTGAGTTTTTCAACGGGGAGGACGTCGATTTCGGCATTGCAACTGACTAATTAATGAAAGCCTTGTGTAAACATTTCCATGCGTTTTGTCATCAGCTTGTTGCGGGCATCGCTCTTTTAGTTTAGCAATTAAAGGCAAAACACACACATTTTGAAGGGATTTCACCATTTAAATCACTATTTATTTTTTTATTTATTTCTTCATTTTTTGTACCGTAACAAGGCTATTTTGCGAGGCTGGGTATTTGGAATACCTTTTGCTTCATTGCAGCTCTCTTCTGGGAGAAAAGTTCATCATGAGGGAGTCATTTTGGTGGGTTTCCGTAGTAGTTGAGGTTTACCTCGAAATCTTATGCCACCTGCACATGAGTACCCATGAAAAAGAGCGAAGATGAAGGTAACAGCAGTTGGGTGGACTCTGAGGAAACAGTTTTGATTGCCTTATTATGAAGTTGTTTACAAAAGAAAGTGTTTTAAAGAAACTTTACAAGAAATGCACTATTACTCCACCTACTCACTTGAATCTCTTACTTTATGGGGGCCAGTCCCAAAGCTTCCCCTAGGTTTCCCTTTTTGGATTGGATTTCGTAGGAACGCTTTCATCGTTGTAGCCGACAAAGCGATGCTTCCGTTTGTCCGTTCAATAGACAACTGTTTGGTTTACTTTTTTTCATTTTGCTGTCCGGCAGCCTTTTCATTGGTATAACTTCCCTTTTCCGCTGAATTCGAAAGGAATTATTTGCACGGGCGCATACCAATACGCAGCCATGGGTGATATTCCAAGGTGGTACGTATCAATAGATTGCATTGATAATCCGTGGCGGATTTCTGTCAAACACGTGTCGGGGCAATTTTCACGGCTAGTTGTCGCAGGACACTGGGTCGTAATGTGGCGTTCAAGGTTATTCCTCACTTATATATTCTCAGTGGCACAATCGACCCCATAATAATCCCTGAATGGGAATCTTAATTGCCCAGTAGGATGAAAGGCTACCATCCGGGATAACTGCACCGGAATGTTCGTTTCTTCGATCAAAGATATAGCACTATTTGATCGGTCAATGGTGGTCAGCAGAGCGCGATGATGTTTACCCGCTATCGCAGTTTGGCTCGGTATCAATGGGTTTCCTTTGAGTTTACCTTTCATATCAGACAGGGGATTGTAATTGTGTTGATCACTTCAAATGATTATTTCAGACGAACGTGACGGAATTCAAAAGAAAACCTTTACAAAATGGGTAAATAAACATTTGGCTAAGGTGAGTATTTCGTTGTTTACTTTTCGCTCTTCTTCTGCTCACTATTTGAATCTTGATACGATTTTGAAGTGTGTGTTGTCTGTTCACTCGAAATATCTTGGTTTTTCATCTTCGCCTCATATCTTCGGTTTGATCGATGATGATTGACCTTGTCTTTTGACCGATTCAAGGCTTTTCGTGATGATAGTTTTTCATACATCAGTAAGGTGATATTTTGAACGTAGGCAAAGTTCAGTTGATAATCTGCCACTGAATGAGAGAAAAACGGTGATTTTTCTGACTTTCGTCGAGACTGATTCGTTTCCTCTCGACTGGTAAACTAGTGAGAAATACCTGGGGTGGCGACGTGCCAGTGGCGTGTGAACCCATGAACACGTGGTAATGTAGGGAATCAGATGGGTAAACAGTGCCCTTTGTTATTTCCTTTATGCGATTATGTGCATATGTGACAAATCGATTAATGTGATTTGGGAACTGTTGTCCGAATCGTCCTTTTTTCCCAAAACACCTCTTAACACTCGTAACCGCTTAATTCGAATTGTGAAATTTTCGTTTTGAAGATAAACAAAGTCGGAGCATAACGAAATCGGCTTCCATCTTTTCGTTGTTTTTCGTAAATTAATCTCTGTCCTGCTATGTGTAAAGCACAGAAGGGCAAGAAGGCGACATGCTTTTAACGTTTTTTTTCTAACATGTGATCATAAATTCTAGACATAAACTGGAGCACCTTAACCATTACGGCGTAGGCAAGGGAGCATTGAGCGCTGCCATATGAAGTGAAAGAAAAATGTAAGTACTATTGTGAATAATTGAAGGTCGGGGGACCACAGGTGATCTTTGATCTGTGGTCTTCCCTTGTAAGAGCATCACACGATTTGAATTGCATTGAGCATCGTAGAGAATTTCAATTCGAGTCTGGTTTTCGCTTAAAAAAGCCGTAAAAGGGTAGTAGTTGTTGTTGCGGCTCGTTTTGCCATTGCGGCAGCTCCGCCTCAAATCATGCAATATTGCCACCTGAATCTATCTATCTACACAGTATCGTACATATCCTTGTCATATTGAAAGTAGTAAAGTATGAGATGGGTATGAACAGGGATTGTAAGTAATGGCGCTTTGAAAAAAAGATGACGCAGGGTCAATAAATTCTAATATCTTTTTCCTCTCCACTTATACCAGCTGTCATTAAAAGATTTGTCGTTTTTCAATCACTTTTTCGATTTCTTCTCAAATCACAGTTATTCTACTTACCTGAGAAGTAGTGGTTCCTAATTTTAAAGTAGACTCGGTTCACAATTTCGCATGAAAATTTTCTGTGAAATGTTCAGAAACTCGATAATTTTTTTCAAAATCCAGTGATTAAACTGGTTTATTCTGTATTGTCGATAGCGTTATTTGTCAGAACAACCCTTGTTCGTTGAACTATCCATTCGCTGTTCATTTCGCCATTCGATAAGTATTCATTCATAAGTTTCGTATGGAATGCATGATAGGCGATGAGTAATTAAAGCTTTGTTGGAATGGCGGGGTGAATAATGTGTGTGAGAAAATGCAAAATTAAAATCGTTATATTCGGGCAGTGATGCTCTCTGCTGATTTTTGACGCCTGTCAAATGTGATGGTTCATGCATCGATTTATGTTAAACGCTTTTAAACATAGCTGGCTCATTGGCACGATGAGCTTTTGTTCTTCCAAGTTCCAAGCATTGGAGTGTATTGCCACTCATGTTGTCTCTATATGAGTACGGATTGGATGTAAAACCAACTTTAACTCCCCAGTTAGGAAGGCAGGTACTGCAAATTGAAATTGTCAGTCGCGAACGCTCGTTGAAGATAAGAATCGGGAACCAGCTGCCTGCCTTAAGGCGGGCTCTTTTGTGTATGTTTCGGATGTCTCGGGTGAACACCTTCGCCGTTAAGCAGACGTCCAAGACAGGTTGGGAGAACACCAGGACGGGGGCAGAAAATGTAATTTACTGATCCTTTATTTGCTCTCTCATTATTGAGGTGGAAGACTTAGTTCCTTTTTTAGTAATGGTACCATGAGAAATTTTCATAAGTGCTGGTGTCAAGCGTATAATATGAGTATCTTATAGAGAAGAGCTGTTCTGGGTGATTTGTTTGCAGTTCAGTAGAGGCAGTAGTAAAGCCTGAGTGCTGCCAAAGATGCATCGTATGTTAGGCAGAGACAATACCCTTAGACTATAGTCAGATCTCTTTTGGATCGAACTAATGTTCTGCGTTCACAACTTGCCTCTGCCAAATGTTAGCTGTTGCCTCCATATTTGATAGTATTCTCTGTCGTTGTTGTTTTCTCATCTATCAGGGCGAGAGTTCACTTTTCGTAATTTCGAATGCTGCCTCCTGAAAAATCCTTTGATTTCACTCGAGGCCAAGTTTGATTCGTTTTGTCATTTCTGTGGCTCAAGAAACCTCAAGACTCTCGTGTCTAAGAATTGCATGTGAGTAGTTCAATCTGGCCAATGGCATAAAGTTGTTTTGTGAACATGTCTTGGTAACTTGTACTGACTTCTCTCGATGTGTGTTCTGAAAGGATGTATTCATGGCCGCCTTCAGTATATGCTTAACTATAAGCAGTTCAAAGACCACCACACTACTCCTCAGGGTTTTCGAGCTGTTTCTCAAACAAAGGTCATTTTTATTCGTGGCAGAGTTCAAGGCTAAATCGGTGGGCAAGGCTGTATCCTCAGAAGCTGCCTTTGTCACTGATCCATTTTCTTCGGTTCCTTGAAGCATTTGAACAGTTTTAGAAATCCTNCTGTTCTACTTCGCCCAGGTCAGAATGAAGGGAAGCGAAAGTCCATAGGGTTGAGGAAGTCTGATCATCCAGTTATAAGAATTTCCATAAAGATAGATAAAACTCAATTTTAATACCGCATCTGACCTAGCATAACGTGATTGAACCATAATCAATTTTGTAATGAGCTCAGGTGAGAAACTCATTTATTTTACATAGGTAACTGTTCAGTTGAGAATCAACCCTCTGAAGATTCTTTGGCTTCATAGGTAGGTCTGCCACATAGTAAAGTTAATTATTCAACTACTGATCAAATCTGTTGCGGGTGACCACTTCCAATCGTAGTGGTAGTAGGGGTTTGAGTCATGTGGCCTATGAGATCAATCTATGCAGAATTAAGTGCTTCTGTCTTCCAGTTCGGTCTGCTAACACACCCTAGGCTAGTTGTAAAAGTACCTGCACAAAGTGCGCCAGTACAATTACTCCGGTGATCGGGCCCAGGGACAATACCCGTCGAGAACAGTTTAATCTTGCATTTTTGGTCCGTTTTTTTAATGCCAAATCCATCTAATACGATAAAATTACTGTGTAGGGCGCTGCCTGGCATAAACCATTGCATGGGTCGATCTCCTATTCAATTAGTGCTCAAATCTGCACGAAAGTAGGGTAGAGGGCGCGTTAGAGATTGGACTTGTCAGCATCTCAACCGTACCCTTTCTTTCATCGAATGAAAACTGCTTCATTTTGAAATGGTGTTTTCTCATTCCTTACAGCCACATCATATTATACTCCATTGGGAAAAAATTCTCGCCAATTTTGGGGGCCTGGCACGGACCCACACATGATAGAAATTGATCAAAAGTTTAAGTGATGGTAGAATCAAGTCGGAAATTGCTTTGTACGTCAGTCGACCACCGATTCTGCTAACTACAAGATCAACGAGAAAGCGTGCATACAAAGCCGAAGCAAGTCGTGATTTGAGTTGAAGCGTGGCCGTTCGTTGAGATGGAAACCTGATCACCGAATTCACTATGCAATACTAACATCAATGCTTTTCGCAAGAAAAATAATTGACAATAAATGGAATCGAAAAGGGAAACGTTCGATCCTTCCATGGTTCCTAGGGGATCAGACTTATAACTGATTCACTCTCATGAAACTAGCCGACTAGTCCGAGCTGTAGCCTCTCCGAAATTCACTAAATAATCCCTTATCATGGCCTCTCCAAAAATACTAGCCAGTACAATTGCTTGCAGTTCACTTTATGTACAAACGCTTTATCTCCTGTTATCGAACCCTTCATAAGGATTTCCTTCATTTGCCACGTCCCCTTTTTTTCTGTCCACTTCATTTTCGTCCAAGTTTAATCCCCTTTCTGTTTGTCTAGATTTGATATCTACTCAGTCTTTTGGGTATACGACAAAATCGTTCAGTAACATACTGATGAATCTGGAATATGCGGTATTGCTCGTCATTTAGATTAGCGGAAATCAGTGATTGTAAAGGTTGTGAGAAGCTTCGTCCCTTTTCGTTCTGTATGCTGTTGCCATTATGAGAACCTGTTCTATTTTGATCATCATTCGTTGTGGTTCTCCATAGGAGTACGGTTCCATTCCAACCAGCGTCAGTTTTTTTTTGCCACTTAAGTGTGTTAAAAAATAGTAGTTTTTGCACGGCTTGACATCTTCGCGACCATGACGCCGCTCGGTTCGGGGCAGCTTTTCCCCTTAAGTTATTAGTCGCAAAGAAATGCAGCTTTTATCGTAACGAATAGCATGTTGGGAATTGTGATCATTAATCCTATTTTGGAATAATTAAGCAATTACTAAAAGCGGACGTCAGTTAATTTCCTCAGAATAAGTACAGAAAACCATTCTCACTTTTGTCTGAGGCGATCTACTGAGTCCCTGGCCGTCAATGGTCAAATCAAAGGCCAAGGGGGTCGAAGAAACATCAAGCCTTTCCGTGATGATGAGACCATTTTCTTTCCTGGAACTCGGAGCGATTTCGCCTTCTTATAGTTCGACATCAGCAAACATTTGTGAGGCCTAAGCTAGGTACAAAGCGAATCCGAGCATTAAGCGTACGAAGATCGCATTTTTTAGCTTTTTGCACTGTTTCTTCGTTAAGCATGTCAATATTGACTCTAATTTTCGTTCATTCTGCGTTGTAGAAACAGCTTCCAGGAGGGATTGTTTTTTTTCTTGGAGATGTTTGTCTACGCTGTATTTCCACCCACATGCGAACGATTTCCTACTATTCTTCCTTGCTTACTCTGATACGAAAAAAGCTAGGTTTTACGAAATCAGTATTGAGCTATTCACTTTCTGCGGATTCCACAGTAAAACATATTAAAGCACAATAGTTCCCAACACTGCTTATACGCTTCCAT